GTACGAACAAAAGTAAGAGAAATTTAGGATAAGAATATGAACATGTTCTTGCATGAGGCCCAATGTTTGAAAATCACACAGCTAACAGAACTGTATTCTAGGATGTGCACATTATTCTGTTGCCCACTTCCAACCATATCACACCCACCCTGGCAGTAACCCCAAAGCTTATGATTTAATCAGCTGGAGAGCGCTTTAGAAATGAGGACAGGCAGATTTGAACCAATTGTAAAATAATAATGAATTATCATCAGTACAACCCCTGGCAAAAAGTATGGAATCACTGGTCTTGGATGAGCACTCATTCAGACATTTCATTCTGTAAAACAAACTCAGATCAAAAACATGATACAATGATAAGGTCGATCCAAAATGCAACTTGTTGGTTTTCAGGAACACTCAAAGAAATGAGGAGAAAACATTGTGGAAGTCAGTGAATGTTACTTTTATTGACCAAGCACAGGGAAAAAAATATGGAATCACTCAAATCAGAGGTAGAAAATAAGGACACACCCAGTCATTTTCCTTTCCCCAAATGGACACCTGCCTCAGATTAGATCTGCTCATTAGTCTGCAGTTAAAAACACCTGCAGTCATGACACCTTGGAGGGCTGCTGGACGAAGTGGAGTGGTTAGAACCATGGCTCCAACAAGAGAAATGTCTCCTGAAACAAAATAGAGGACTGTGAAACTTMTTGAAGGTAACTCTTCACACATGGTTGCTAAAGATGTGGGCTGTTCATAGTCAGCTGTATCCAAGATATGGACCAAATACAAACAGCATGGAATGGTTGTTAAAGCAAAGCGTACTGGTAGACCAAGAAAGACATCAAAGTGTCAAGACAAACAACTTAAGGCCATTTGTATTGAAAACTGAAAAAGTACAACTAAACAGATGAAGCATAAATGGGAGGAAGCTGGAGCCAATGTATGTGACCGAACCGTAAGAAATCCTCTAAAGGAAATGGGATTTCAATACAGGAAAGCTAAAAGAAAACCATCATTGACACCTAAACAAAAAAGAACAAGACTGCAATGGGCTAAGGAGAGGCAATCATGGACTGTGGATGACTGGATGAAAGGTATCTTCAGTAATGAGTCAAGAATCTGCATTGGACAAGGTGATGATGCTGGAACTGTTGTTTGGTGCCATTCCAGTGAGATTTATGAAGAGGACTGCCTGAAGAAAACAACTTAATTTCCACAGTCCTTGATAATATGGGGCTGCATGTCAGGCAAAGGCACTGGGGAGATGACTGTGGTTCATTCTTCTATCAATGCACAAGTTTACATTGACATTTTGGACAGTTTTCTCATCCCTTCAATCAAACAGATGTTTGGAGGTGATGAAATAATTTTCCAAGATGACAATGCATCCGGCATAAGGCATTGGGCACAAACAGTGAAGGCATTCCTTGGAGAAAGACACATTCAGTCGATGTCATGGCCTGCAAATAGTCCAGATCTCAACCCAATTGAAAACCTGTGGTGGAAATTGGAAAAAAAGGTCCACATGAAGGCTCCGACCTGCAAAGCTGATCTGGCAACTGCTATCAAAGAGAGTTGGCACCAAATTGATGAAGAATACTGTTTGTCACTCATCAAGTCCATGCCTCAGAGACTGCAAGCTGTTAAAAGCCAAAGGCGGTGCAACTAAATACTAGTGATGTATTTTGAATGGTCTTTTGTTTATCTGTTTTTCATGATTCCATACTTCTTTCCTCTGAATTGAGTGATTCCATATTTTTTCCCTGTGCTTGGTCAATAAAAGTAACATTCACCGACTTCCAAAATGTTTTCTCTTCATTTCTTTGAGTGTTCCTGAAAGCCAACAAGTTGCACTTTGGAATGACCTTATTATTGTATCATGTTTTTGATCTGAGTGTTATGATTCTGTCACTGTCTGCCCAGATCTTGCCCCAGTTTAGTTTTATTTTATTTCTTGTTCCAGGTCATCCTCGTAGTCTTGTTCCCAGCCTTTCAGTTCACATCCAGCTCCTGCTCACTGCTCTCACCCCTCCCGTCATAGAAACTCTAATCAAGCTCATTTCACTCACCTGTCTCCAGCAGTATTTAACTCAGTCTCACTCTCCAGCTCATTGCCAGATTTTCATCAGCCTCGCCTATGATCTTCCAGCATTCTTGTCCCTTGTCCTGCTCTTGCCTCATGTCCCCGAACTTGCTCATGTCTCCTGGTTTTACATCTCCTACCTCAGCCCATCAGATCCCACCTGCCATCTGCTCTTACGGTAACGACCTTTATTTTGTCTCTTGGATTATTGTCACTCGCCTGCTCCCTGAATGGAACCGCGCCACATCGGACCTCCTGGATCTCGACCCCTGAACGCATCTCTGGACTAACGACTCAGTCATCTCCTTCTAACCTGGTAACGTCCTCTGATCACCGGTGTATGACCCTTGCCCCGTTTCTGACCACAAGTAAGTCCAGCGATCCATTCGCTCTCCGTGACAAAACACAGCCTGGAACCAAAACACATCAGCTGTTGTTTCAACCTGGATCTCATCTCAGCAGGAAAGGTTGGTGACTTTCTTTTTCATAAATAATATTGTGTTCACGACCCAACCTAACCCCAAGCTTCTGTGTCTAGAACTGATGACCCCGGAGTCCGGTCCTAACCTTCCAGCCAAATTTTCTAACAATAAACTTGTTAAAACTTTGACGCTGTTTGGTGTTTATTCAGAGCTCAAAATACAAACCTTAACAGATAATCTGGCCATTATGAGCTAAACCAAGCACACCCTGGAAGGCAAGTATTGAGGGAGCTTTAAATGATCTGGATAAAAGTATTCGTAACATTAACACAACTTTAAGTAATTTATCATTGTCTTGTAATGTTACGGCTCCCCCTGCTGGAGGACAAGCAGCATCACCTAATGTTTCAAGACCTCAGCCTTCCTCATATATGGAGCCCCGTTTGTGCCCACCCGAGAAATTCAAAGGTGATTCCGAGCAGGGTCGAGCTTTTCTCACTCAATGTGAGAAACAATTTGAGTTACAACCCTCATCATTCCCTTCTGAATGCTCCAAGGTCGCTTATGTAATTTCACTTTTGTCTGGTAAAGCCAAGTTATGGGGGACTGCTGAGTGGTAGAGAGACGCTCTCATTTGTTACAAACACCAAGACTTTGCTAGAGAATTACTGAGTTTTTTGTCCGGTTCTTCCCCATCATGAAGCATCCAGAGGCCTGCTAACACTCAAACAGGGGGAACAAGAGGGTCAGAGAGTTTATTATTGATTTTCATACCCTAGCAGTGGACAGCTGGTGGAATGATGAGGCTCTGCAGGACGCCGTTTTGCAGGCATTGAACGAGGGCATCAAGGACGAACTGGCGACTTGAGATCCACCCCAGTCCTTACAGGAATTGGAAGACCTGGCGACACGCATCGATTTAAGGCTGCATGAGCGAAGGCAAAATTGACTAGGTAAAAACTTCTCTGGTACTCATTTGTTACCTTCCAGAAACACTGACACAGGTCAGAGGAAGCCAGGCCGTTACCTTCCCAGTGGAACAAACTACTGTGGAACCCATGCAGATYGGCAGGTGGAAGATTTCTTTGGAGGAGAGGACCCATCATAGGAACGAAGGTCTGTGCTTATACTGTGCTGGTGTTGGTCATATTGCCATTAATTGCCCTGTAAAAGCTAAAAGAACCAAGACTCATGTCTTTAGTCCTGCTCAAGTGAGCCACTCCCTTCCTGTATTGTCAGCAGATTTAAATGTGTCAGGTAAAAATCATGCTGTTAAAGTGTTCATTGACTCTGGGACTGATACMGAGTTTATTGATCACAAGTTTGCTCTTTCTCTGGGACTACAGATTCGTCATTCTGAGAGAAACCATAAGATTCAGGCGCTGGATGGGCACAACCTCAACCACACCAGCTCTAAGACCCTGCCCGTGAAAATGACCATTGGAGGAAATCACACTGAGGAAATAACTTTCTGGTAATCACATCGCCCAACCTTCCCATCGTCCTTGGAGCCACCTGGTTGGAGAAACACAACCCCCACATAAACTGGATCAACAAGGAGATTATGGGTTGGTCAGAACAATGTTCATCCAAATGTCTTTCCGCAGCTAATCTTGAGAAGGAACCTTGTAATGAGGCTTGCCTGCCCTTTCTTGTTTTGACTGATCACAAGAACCTTGAGTATCAAGTCAGCTAAAAGATTAAATCCTCGACAGGCCAGATGGGCTCTGTTTTTCAGTCGTTTCAACTTTGTTTTATCCTACAGACCCGGGACCAAGAACACTAAACCGGATGCCCTGTCGAGAGTTCATGAGTCTGACACAACCAAAGGCGACCAGGGAGGGTTCGTGTTTCCAGATGCTGTGCGCCTGGCCATAAACCAAGTCGAGAGAGAAGTCAGGGCAGCCCACCAGAACCACCCACCTCCCAATGAATGCCCGGATGGCAATTTCTTCGTTCCAGACCACCTAGTTGGTAAAGTATTGGAATTTTGCCATTCTTCACGTCTTTACTGCCATCCAGGTATCACCAAGACAATAATAGTATATTCAGGTCTCAGTTCTGGTGGGGATCCCTAGAAAGGGACGTTAGAGAGTTCATTGGATCTTGTATTCAGTGTGCCCTGGCAAAATCCTCTCGACGGCCACTGGCGGGTCTCCTCAGGTCTCTCCCTATACATCACGCCCTTGGTCACACATTTCTATGGATTTTGTGACTGGTCTGCCGCAGTCTGAGGGTAAGACTGTGATCCTTACGATTGTGGATCGTTTTTCTAAAATGGTACACCTTGTCGCTCTCCCCGGTCTGCCCACAGCCAAGGAAATGGCTCAGGTCTTTATAGACAATGTTTTCAGGTTTCATGGATTGCCAAGCAATATAGTGTCAGACCGGGGCCCTCAGTTTATCTCAGGTTTTTGGAAAAAGTTTTGTGCCATGCTCGACATCTCACTGAGTTTTTCTTCAGGATATCACCCTCAGACTGACGGTCAGAAGGAGAGAGCCAATCAAGAACTGGAGACCCGCCTAAGGATCCTGTGCGGCAACGACGCCACCAAGTGGGCTATGAATCTCTCCCTGGTCGAACATGCACTCAACTGCCTGCCATCAAGTTCCACGAGGCTGTCACCCTTCTATGTGGTCTATGGATACCAGCCGTCTGTGTTTTCTGCCCACGAACGAGCAGCCCAGGTTACCTCAAGCCCATCAAGCAGCCCTTCGGTGTCAGAGAGCTTGGAGAGCCGCCAAGAAAGAACTGGTAAAGTCTACCCTCGTGGCCACCAGAACTGCCAACAGGAGGACTTCTGCCCCCCAGTACCAGATGGGCGATTGAGTGTGGCTCTCCACTAAGGACTTACCGCTGAGGGTAGACTGCCGTAAGCTAGCTCCTCATTTCGTGGGCCCCTTCCCTATCTCCAAGGTGATCAACCCGGCGACTGTCAGACTCAGACTCCCAGGCTCCATGCGTGTTCATCCCACGTTTCATGTGTCCCGGGTCAAGCCTGTCCAACGGTCCAGATTTTGTCCCTCCTCCAGCCCGACTCATCAATGGTGGCCCGGCGTACACGGTTCGCCGCATCCTCAAGTCTCGTCGTTGGGGTCGTGGCATCCAGTACCTCATCGACTGGGAGGGATATGGTCCAGAAGAGAGATTGTGGGAGGGATATGGTCCAGAAGAGAGATTGTGGGTACCAACTTGCCATGTCCTTGATAAAGCCCTCATCAGGGACTTCCATAGAAGCAACCCCAGTCAGCCAGCGCCAGCTAGAGGGCCGTCAGGAGCCGGAGGGGGGGGGGGGGTTCCTGTTATGATTCTGTCACTGTCTGCCCAGATCTTGCCCCAGTTTAGTTTTATTATTTTATTTCTTGTTCCAGTTCATCCTCAGTCTTGTTCCCAGCCTTTCAGTTCACATTCAGCTCCTGCTCATTGCTCTCACCCCTCCCGTCATAGAAACTCTAATCAAGCTCATTTCACTCACCTGTCTCCAGCAGTATTTAACCCAGTCTCACTCTCCAGCTCATTGCCAGATTATCATCAGCCTCACCTATGATCTTCCAGCGTTCTTGTCCCTTGTCCTGCTCTTGCCTCATGTCCCTGACCTTGCTCATGTCTCCTGTCTCAGCCCCTGTTGGATCCCGCCTGCCATCTGCTCTCACGGTAACGACCTTTTTTTGTCTCTTGGATTATTGTCTCTCGCCTGCTCCCTGAACGGAATCGCGCCACATCGGACCTCCTGGATCTCGACCCCTGAACGCATCTCTGGACCAATAACTCAGTCATCTCCTTCTAACCTGGTAATGTCCTCTGATCACCGGTGTATGACCCTTGTCCCGTTTCTGACCACGAGTAAGTCCAGCGATCCATTCGCTCTCCGTGACAAAACACAGCCCGGAACCAAAACACATCAGCTGTTGTTTCATCCTGGATCTCATCTCAGCAGGAAAGGTTGGTGACTTCCTTTTTCACAAATAATATTGTGTTCACGACCCAACCTAACCCTAAGCTTCTGTGTCCAGAACTGACGACCCCGGAGTCYGGTCCTAACCTTCCAGCCAAATTTTCTAACAATAAACTTGTTAAAACTTTGACGTTGTTCGGTGTTTACTCAGAGCTCAAAATACAAACCTTAACACTGAGTTTGTTTTACAGAATGAAATGTCTGAATGAGTGCTCATCCAAGACTGGTGATACCATACGTTTTGCCAGGGGTTGTATAGTGTTGGTCCTGAGTGTTCATGCTTGTAGCCTCAGATGCTTCCTGACATGAGGAGAGCTGGGGTGCAGGTGTAATACAGTTCAGTGCTCTAGGATTACTGAAACTAAACAGAGAAGGGTTTAAAACTCAGGCAGTTTTGAGAGAAGAATTGTTGCACAAATTTCTTGAACATGTTCAAAGTGAAGTGACAAAACAGTGGACCCCCATGGCCCACCAGGGAAACAGTACTGTTCACCAACTAGTCTCCATCAGCTCAGTGACATAAAAGCAGCACTGCCCACACTGTGGATGGACACAAAGTCCCAAAGAAACACGCTTTTGGGGGGGGGGGATTGCCATAAGACCTTTGAGTGTTTCTGTGGGAATTTGTGCCCACTCATTTACAGACAATTTGTGTGGGAGGAGAAGATCTGACATGTAATCTTTGTTCCTGTTCATTGTGAAGGTGCTCTGTGGAGTCCAGGTAACAATCTGTGACAGATAAACATAAGAAATGTAATTATTATTTAGTCATCTGTGCCACAGTGTGTGTGTGTGTTTTTTCTGTTTGTGCAGCAAGGTTAAATTTTAACCACAACATAAGAACCAAAGAGGTGAACTTGTTTCAGTTATGCTCAGAGCTTCAGATATTCCTCCATCCTGGGCCTGGATGACTGGTGCTGATGTTGATCTGTGTTTCTGGGCTCTGCTATCTTCACCACGCAAGATGCTCTGAGTGCTCTACAAGTTCTTCAGTGAAAGAGAGTTACATAAATGATCTTAATCCTCTGGCTGAAAAACAGCCCAGTGTCATATGCTGACACTGTTATGTAAGTACTTCCTGTCCCAGTCCCCACTGCCATAACATCTACCTAACAAGGTGCAGGCTGCATACAGAACGTGGAGTTTAACCTGCTGAGGCGTGAGACCATCATGGTTCACAGCAAAGCACAGAACCAGGATTTATACAGTAAAAAAAAAAAAAACTAAGAGAAGACTACCAACCTTGTTGAGCTCTTCTATTCTTCGTATCAGGTAAGGGTTGCTGGAGGAGTTCTCAAAGTAAACATAGTCTGGAACAAATAAAAACAACAAAAACTGAATTCATCCACTTGTGAAAATTAAAAGTGCTAATTCTACAATGAAAGAGGAAGTTTGACAAAATTGGAGATACTCACAAATCAAATCTCATTTCTTAGAAAGTTGGAATCAAACTTTAGAGATAAAAAGCTAAACAGCTAATATTTAAAGTGCCTGTGATATCAAATTTTTGTAATAAACATGAATGCATTTTTGGAAAGATAGCATTGATAACATATTGCAAAACAAATTTCACACTCACTGCTGAGAAGAACAGTTGTTCAGATATTTGCATGTGAAGAAACAGGAAGTGATGTCAAAAGGGAATGTCAGCATGTAAACCAGAGCTTTGCTACAATAGCTAACACAGACTGTAGAGAAGAATCTGATGTTTCTTTAGATTATTTTTAGTCTCTATCAGAAAGATGAAGAAGAGTTAAAGTTTAAATAATTTTGTTTTAATAGTGACCAGCAAGTTTATTAATGAGTTCCTCTTTGATGTCACTTCCTGTTTCACTTTGGCTGAGCCAAGTTCAAAGAAAATAGCCCAGTTATGGGACAAAACGGGTAAAATCATGTGTACTATGCCGATTTTCTTAAGTATGAAGACGATTTCTTTGACTTTTCGTATTTGAAGGATAGGCATGTCACAGGCACTTTAAATATATTTAGTAAAATCCATCTTTTATTCATTACTTTTCACATGATGAACTAACATTTAAAAAGGCTGGACTTATAATAAACTGATATTCTGTTGCTAGGAATAAAACACTGAATAAAGATAAGGTTTGTTACAAACGACAGAACTTTAAAAMCACATTTTACTAGTTTCTACAGATTTGTGTTCACCCTGTGACAACCCACATTCAGCTTCTCTATCCAATAATCCAGAGGTTAAACATGTGCAGCTGGTAGTTCATATTATATGTTTTCCTCTCGTGTTGTTTTGGAATCAGAACAAATTAAGATAAGTTGTAAGAGATGGCAGTAGTCTTCTAACAGCAGAGGTTTTACACGCCTCTTCCAGAACGGTTTCAGAGAAAGAAGAGCAAAGAGAAGACACATGTCCCCAACATTCATCCCTGACATCTTACAGGTCTCCACATGCAGACAACATTTAAAATGAGTGCTACTGAAATATAAACAAAACAGGAATCCAAAAGCTCCAGCTGGTATTCTCATTGAGCTATAAATAGAAAGTATCCCTCAGCATATTTTTGCATCACGTCAGACCTCCTGAGCTCACCAGCCAGAGCATTTCCACATCTTACTACTGTGTGAACCTCTGAACGTCCACCTGTCTGTGAGAAAAACTCACCGAAGGCTTAAAAACGTAAAGACATGAAATACATATGCAATAATTACCCTAAAAAATGAGTTTATTTGGAAAAACTTTCTAATTAAAAAAGAACAGAAATATAGTCTGGAAAAAGAAATGTTTATACTTAATTTTTCATGACTGTTTTCACCTTATTCCTGATTAAATATGTCCACAAACAGAAGTTACAAAAAAGCTGTTTCTCTGTGGCTAAATGCTAAGACAGTTTAGTTTAAGGACATTCGTCTTCAGTTTTGCTAACTTTAGTTTCAGTATTAATACAGCTCATCATTCTTTCGGTCCTCTGCTGTATTTGTTTCTGGAATTACGAGACAAAGCTGAACTTGTAACTTTCAAAATAAGAGTGCTTTACAGTTCTTGATTTCCTTCAAATAACTTGACAGAACTAACTATGGTATGAAATGCACGACTGAGAGAAGTTCTTTGTCTCAGTGCTGGCTGAAACAGTGAAGCTACCTGACCTCAGCAAACTTTTCTGTTACCACTGTCAGCTCCAAAACACACTCCGTCACAGCTGTTTGGTTTGTCACAGCTTTCTTTACCTTACGTCACATGACCATGCAGGTGGAGCCATCTTAATGTAATCAGATTGAGGTTCTGTTGTGTCTCAGACCTGAACCTGAACTCATCATTTCACCATCTGCAGCAACAGAGGGAATATATGCTAACAGCTAGCTTTTCCTCTTCTTCTCCAGAGGCTGAAGGCACAGATTTCTATCTAAAGACATCAAGAGTGAAGCAGCAGTCAGGTTTTGTTGCTTACGAGTCGTAGTTCACATTTGATCAATGACAAGTACTGTAGACTGTGGACAGCCTCAGTACGTGAATGATACTGAGTCAGTAAAACAATCCTTGGAACAAATTATTATAAATTTCAATTAGGATTGGGCAATAATACTGTAATAGTACAGATTGTGATAGACATGTTTACTTGTTTTGCACAGATATTGTAGAACATTTCAGTAAACTTTTAAAAAGAGAGATGCAAAAAATGCTAACTTTCACTGCAGTCCCTGGACAGGTTCAAATATTATTTAACAGATTCTGATTTGGTAAAAAGCCAGTATTATGTCTAATATTTCTTTATTCACATTAGGGTTGGGCATAACCCTATTGTGTGCAATTAATCGTCAGAAAAACATTAATCGATTATTTTTTGGCACTTGATGATTAATATGATTAATGCCACCAGGCAGAGTCCACTCCTCGTTGCTTCAAATACGACGAACATTTAAAAAAAGTTCTGTAATTTATTTATCAACACAGTTTAAAATTTGATGTACAGCCTGAAGTCTGTAATTTTGACACAATTTGGAACAGATTTTTATGAACAGCAAATCTTTCCCACTAAATTGGTCAAGTGACTAGGACATATGGAGGTCCAGGGACTCCAAGGGATTAATTGTCACCTGTCACCTGCCAGGACTGCACAGGGCCAACACGCAGGGGCGGAGAAGGAGCGACTGCATCATTATTGGTGTATGCCCCCTCACGCCCGACCCTTCAAGTCAACTATAATGCACAATGTCCGTCTGCTCTCCCGCTGCTATCCCCGAGTGACAACCGTCTTGTGGATTGCTCCCAGTCAGAACTGTGAGACACCTTGTGGCTCGGAGCGTGTGATTGGTCAGAAATTCGTGGGTGTGTTTGTTCCTGAGGAACACAGCCCCGCTCCAGCTGCGCTGAGGAGCAGGACTCTGATCAGCTCTGCCTTCTGCAGCTTCTTTTGTTTAAAATGAGGATCTATGATAAATTATAGTCTGCTGCATCTCCAGCTCGTTTATACTCACTCAGGAAAAGACGTCCAAAATAACCCAATCTCCAACCCGCTGTCTCACGTCTTACTAAAGTATAATCTAAGCTTAACCAAGCTCTTGGTAAAAGGACTCACATAATCTTGTCAAGCAGCTGTGACAGAGTGGTCAGGGGAGTCGTCCTGGAACCGGAAGGTCACCGGTTTGATCCCCCGTCCAGCTGTCTCAGTTGTTGTGTCCTTGGGCAAGACACTYCACCTCTGATGTGTGTCTCATCAGTGTATGAATGTGATTGGCACTGATTAGTCTCCATAGATGATTGTACATGTTAGCTTTGTAGAGACCTAATAGAGTGCTGTGTGAATGGATAAATGAGGACACAGATTGTAGTGTGAAGAGCTTTGGGTGTCCTGCTTGGGTAGAAAGGTGATATATATAAGTACAGTCCATTTATGCCTCAGGGAAAACAAATAAAACAGTTTCTTCTGCACATTCAAAGAGACATGAAAGTAGAGGCTGCAAATATCTGGTTAACCACCTCATTCAGAGATGTGTTCAGATAAGACTCAAACTAAACAGCAGCTCATGAAATGTCTTTTTATTCCTCAGAATTATTCATCACTCTGATACTAACAGAGAGTGGCTCTTTGAGGCTGTTCCTGAGAAAAACCTCCATGTGGTCCACCCACAGACAGACAGGGACAGAGAGCCTCTGGAGGGTCTCAGCCAGGTCCTGATGCATCACCACGAGCATAGGATGAGAGAGAAGAGACAGGGTTCTTCCTCTGGTAAACACACTGGAGGAAAGCATCCCTGCACTGTTAATAGTGAAGAAACACAGCATCTCCAGATTACATAACACTGGATGAAGGAGCAGAGGACGTGCACTTCCATGTGCCTGACAAAAAACTAAACAAACACAACTGCAGGCTGGACACAGATCCTTTTTATTCTAATGAAAGATCAAAGCTCCTTACTCCCAGCTACAATCATGGACACCTGTCTGCTGCTGGTCCCATCTCTTCTGCTGGGAAAAGGTGACATCTACAAGTACGTTAAGACAAATGACAAGCAAAGACAAAGTGCCAGCTGGTGTGGTGCAGGATGAGCCGTGCTTTAGGGTGAAAAAGAAAAGATCAAAGAAGTGTTGGACTAATCTCTGTATAAGATAACGGTCTTACACTGCGCGTATGTTGTGAAGTGGAAAATAACTATAGTTAAACTCAAAAACATGACTAACTTTGATTTACCACCACTTCACTTTGTCTTCTGAATAAGGCACTCTGTCCTTCAGCCTAAACTTTCATYTTTTATTTTATTTACCGTTATTTATCCAGGTAAGTCCTGTTGAGATCTCAGATCTCTTTTTCAATGGAGGCCTGGGCCTGAAGGCAACCTATTGTACATGTTTTTAGGGGTGGAGGAGACCGGAGTACCAGGAGAAAACCCACARAAACACAAGGAGAACATGCAAACTCCACACAGAAAGACCCCAGGTCTGAACCAGGGATCAAACCCAAGACCTTCTCGCTGTGAGGCATCACTGCTAACCACTGATCCACTGTGCTGCCTAAAACTCAACAGCATAGTGGTGGCGTTACAAGACCGGAGCTCAGAGTCCAGTACCAGCTCCCAGAGTCCAGATCAGTACCAGCTCCCAGAGTCCAGATGAGTACCAGCTCTCAGAGTCCAGTACCAGCTCACAGAGTCCAGACCAGTACCAGCTCTCAGAGTCCAGCACCAGCTCTCAGAGTCCAGCACCAGCTCTCAGAGTCCAGCACCAGCTCTCAGAGTCCAGCACCAGCTCCCAGAGTCCAGTACCAGCTCCCAGAGTCCAGTACCAGCTCCCAGAGTCCAGATCAGTACCAGCTCAGAGTCCAGTACCAGCTCACAGAGTCCA